TAGAAAAACCCGCGACTTTTTTTATTATTTTTTATACGTAGAATAATTAAAACGCGTTATAAACTAATACGAATCTATTAAAAAACATTTTAATAACGTTTTTTTTATAATTATACATGTTTTACAATTTTAATTTTAGATATAAATATATATTTCTTTTCTCTCTATCTCTCTCTCTCACTTTTTTTTTTTTTTTTTTATTATTAACCACGCTCTTTGAGATCTTTAACAAAAACTTTGTGCGCAAGAACACATCGATTCAAACCTTGACCAATAAATTTGTTTCATGTACATTTGTTTTTTTCTTTTGTTTTCACTTCGCGAGAAAAACATTTTTTTATCCCTAATATAACACTTTTGTTTCGATAATCTTATAAAATTGGAAAATTATTACAAAATGTCGTTATTAACAATTTAACAAAAAAAAAATTGATTTCCTTGATACGTATTTTCGAACACGCGTCACGTATCGTCGACCGTTTTATTTTCGAACACGGAAATATTTATTTATTCTATGATTTGTGAATTTGATCAGTGACAGTAATCAACATGGCCGACAGCACAAGTAAACATTTAAAGACACAAGAAAAAGGTGTAGAAGGTATTTATATTGATTTAATTTACGTTTAATTATTTATGATTATTATTATTAATTAATTAAACGATGATGTTCGTTTTTATGAGTGTGTTTTTATTATAAAATAATTAATTCGTATTTACGCATATGCTGAAAAAGTGTTCAATTTCGTTTTTTTTTTTCTCTTTTTTATTAATTTACGTTATCGTTATATTATTACGATTTATCATATTCGTTTCTTTTCGTTATGATATTTTATCGTTAAAAATAATAAACGGATTATGCAATGTCAGTTTTATTTGAATCGTATATCGATAAATATGCAACCTTGAAGCATATTTTATGCGCTCAATTATATGCCACCGCATAAGGTCCTTGTTTCAATGCGACGTCAATAACCGTTTTATAACATTTATTATTAATATTATTTTTTTTTTTTTGTTATATTTTAAATATTAACAACAAAATATCCGGCGGATTTCAATTAATTCCCCTTGGTAATGATTTTTTGAATTAAATTCATTATACGTGAAATTACATTGATTATTTCCGGTATAATCTTTCATGATCATGTTATACTTAATTGTTTGTTCATACTTCATGTGACCCAGAATGGTCAGCAATTTTCTTACAACCTTGATGAAATTTTCTCTCTCTCTCTCTTTCACTTTTCTAAATGCATTTTTTTTTATTTGTTATTACTCTGATTTTAAATAAACTCAGGTAAATGAAGTTATTAATTAATGTGCGATAAATAAATTGAAAATTATTTTCTTAAAACATTTGTCGAAAATCATAATAATCGATAATAGCGATGACTTAAAAAAGTGATTTTGTAAGTTTATCGACAAGTTGTTTTTTTTAAATTTACTTATAATTCTTTTTTTTTAGCTTTGCTGTTGTCACCATAATGCAAATTTCATGTCGACAACTCTTTAATTAAAAAAATTATTTAATATGCATCGATTTGTATTTTGAACATATTTATATATCGACATGTATTTAAAACAGTGATAATCATTATTTTGTAACGACAACATTCGAATGTTGATTTTTTTTTTTTTTTTTTTTTCAAATCGAAAACATTTAAAATTTGAATCGATTAATATCATACCATATTGTTTTTTTTTATTAATAATAATAATAATTTATATATTTAAAGGAAATATTTCATGGATGCAAACATTTATCGATATTTAAAAAAGAAAGTATTAGGACTATTTATTTTAATAAGACATGATGACGATGATAATATTGAAAAGTAATTACATTATTAATTATGTATTATTTATATTTTTGTTAAAACAATAATGATGTCATATTTAAATAGAGTGAGTGTGAGAGAGAGATAGAGAGATAAAAAGAAATTTACCTTGAAAATAAGGTCAGTTAATTATTTAACGAATGTAATTTATTGTTAATTAAAGTTTGAAATTGAAATTGAAATTTGCTAAAGCTCTCAAAATTCACATAATAAAAACTGTTGTTTGTTTGTTTTTCATTCATGCGATAATGAAGGAAAGTTTATTGTTGTTGTTGTTGCTGTTGTTGCTGTTACTGTTGTTGAAATCGAAATGTTGGAATCTAATAATAACAAAAAAAAAAGTAATTTTTTTTTTTTTTCCCCAACATTATTAATATTTTCTATTCAAAACGAAAATAAAATTTGAATAATTCATTAATGCATTCATTAATAACCAAAAAAAAAAAAAAAAAAAAAAAAAACTTTTGAGGAAAATTTGCTAATTTTGAAAATGATGATTCTGTCAGGATATATGTGGTGTCCATGACTTTACGGTGGTGGTGGTAGTGGGGGAGATGGTATTATTCTGTTTGAATAGTTTACCGGCAGAATATAAAACGTAATAAAAGCAAAGGGACATGACTCTTTTGTTTTTTTTTATTACTTTTTCCATATTATCAATGATGACCTCTACTCTCTCTCTCTTTCTCTCTTTCTCTCTCTCTCTCCAATTATTGTTGATTTACTACAAACCATAGAATTGCGATTTTAATAATAAAAAAAAAAAAAAAAATTAAAGATGGTTGATTCCAATTAAAAAGTTTTTAACGGTCTATCGATGATGTTAACCGTGAAAGAAAATTGTTTTTAAAAAAAATTTATGATGTTGCGATTATGTTTTGAAGTTTTTTTAAACCTTCGATGGCTTTTTTCTTCTTTAACCACGCACTTACGCACACGCACGCACGCACATACACACAAAAAGTTCAAAGGAAAAACGAAAAAAATTTTTTTTGGAAACGGTATTAAAAATCCGTTAACTTTTTGTACCTTCCGGATATTTTCTGATCTTCATTTTTCTTTTTTTTGTGGGGGGGGGTCACCCACCGCCTTCCTCTTCCTTTTGTTTTGTATTTCGTTTCGAAAAAAATCGGTTTGGAAAATATTTTGTCTGTGTGCACGTTTTCCTCTGCAATTTTCGAATTGACCATCGATTTCTTTTTATGGAACGAGAAAAAAAAAAAAAAAAACCGTTTGATAGAATTTTAATATCGGAAAAAGAATAAAAAACCAAAAATAAAAATTTTCCAGATAACGATGATAATAATGATAATGATAAGAGTTATCGATTTGTTTTCGTTCCAGAGAAGGAAAAAAAAAGAGGAAGAGGAAAAAGAAAGAAGGAGGAAATTAATTTAAACTTTTTTTTTCTATTTTAGGGAGAGGGGAGTTTCCTTTTATTTTATCATCATCATCTTTTGTTTCTTTTTTCCCCCTCCCCCCGTTTCCTTTCGTTTTTGGTAGATTATTCATCGTATTTATTTTTTATTCTAACCGCAAAAATTGTGTTCTTCGAATCAATCGATTGACCATATTTTTTTTTTTATTCAATCCAGTCCGGATAATTGAAGTATGAAATTTATTACATTTTTGCCTACGGTTATTTTATTATTATTGTTATTATCATTATTATCATCGTCGTCGTCATCACTATTATTATTATTATTATTATTATTATTATTATTATTATTATTATTATTATTATTATTATTATTACGATTCGGAATCTCGTTGTCGTGGTAGTTGTGGTGGTGGTGGTGGTTTATGATAGCGTTCTGAAATCGTTTTGAATTATATTTGCCATTTTTAAATTTAAAAAAAAATTAAAAAAGGAAAAGAAAAGGAAAGAGAAGAAAAGAAAAGAAAAAATTTTCTTTTTTTCTTTTTTTTAATTTTCTGGCCGAGGTAATTATTTCTTTCAGCCAGGAGGATGATTTTATAAATTAACCTTGGACGTTATTAATCGTTGATGCCATTTTTAAAATAAAAAAAAATTCAGAAAGGAATGAAAAAAAAAATCTACGATGACGATGATGATGATGATGATAACGGTGATTTTGATCGTGAGGATGAGAGGGGAGGGGAAGAGGAAAGTTGAGAGAATGAGAGAGAAAAATAGAGGAAACAAGAAGTTGGCAAGATTTTTTTTTTTTTTTTTTAAAAAAAAAGACTTAAAAATATCTTACGAGTCTGGGATTTCTCGAACCGGGGAACCAAAATAAAAAATAAAAAAAATTCTAATAAAAAATAATACGGGCTCGCGCACACGCATACACACACGCACACTGACACGCACTTTATAATTAAAACATGCGAAATTTTTAAAACGTGTTTTTTTTGTTTTGTGTGTTTTTCCAGGTTTTTTTTTTTTCTCTGATAATTTTCGCACTAGTTTTAAATCAAAAAAAATTTTTTTTTTTTTTAATTACGTCGTGTGTGTGCGTGCGTGCGCGTGCGTTTCCGGTTTTTGTTTTTTAAATATATGGAAAATATGGTGATGATGATGATAATAATGAAAATCACAATGGGAGTGTTTGGTTGTTACGCCTAAACGACCTCTTACGTATATACTCTTGCCTTCGTCGTTGGAAATTTCAAACTTGAAGAAGAAGAAGAAGAAGGTTTGATGTTTGTTCGTTTGTTCGCGATTGTTTCTCTCTCTCTCTCTCTCTCTTTAGTTTTTTCCAAAGTCCGTGGAGTTGGTATCATTTTAGTTTTTGTCGTTTGTTTGTGAATATTGCGTTTTAATTAAATTAGGAAATTGCCTTTGTTGTATTTTTAATTCATTTAAAAAAGAAAAAAAAATCCCCGGGCGTGAGAGTGTTTCCCTTGTGTTTTTTTTTTTTTTTTCTCGTATGCAAAATTCTTTTCATCCACGGTTTTTTTTTTTTTTTTGTTTTGTTTTCATTCCAGAAAAAAAAATAAAACAATAATAATAATAATAGGTTTTGTTTTATAGCTCCAGGATGAATTTTTTTTTTTTATTATTATTTACCTCCCTGCAAAAATTATTAATGAAGGAATAAAAAAAAAAATTATTTAAATTTTCAGTAAAAACTTTTTAAAATAATAATAATAATAATATATATACGTAATTGATAAAAGTTTTAAAAAAAAGAAATGAAGCCGAATAAAAAATACAACGAACCGACACGGGATAGCGATACTGAAAGCATGGAAGAAGAAGATGAAGAGGAAGAGGAGGAGGAAGAAGAGGAAGAAGAAGAAGAAGAAAATGAAGACGATGAAGAAGGAGCTGTGGTAAAAGATGAAAACGATAACGATAAAAATGAAGAAGAATACGAAGAAGTAGAAGTCGATGAGGAAGATGATGATGATGAGGAGGAGGATGAAGAAGAAGATGATGAAGAGGAAGAGGAAGAGGACGATGACGAAGAAAGCGATTACAATGATAATTTTCACGTGGAGAAAATAATTACTAAAAATCAGTCGACTCCGTTAACGAAAGTTGATGATTCATCACGTCGCGTACCGGAACCGGAAACGGAAATGAAAAAGAAACGAATAATGACACCTCAATATGTTGGTGAAAAACAAAAAGGGAAAAATATCGAACGATACCCGAGAGGAGGAATTCGTAGAAATTCATCTGAGGATGATGAAAGAGAAGAATACGAATCCGATGCAGATTCAGAAGATGAAGAAGATGATGATGATGGTGAAGAATCCGTGGCATCGAAAAAAGTAATAAACAACGTCAACAACAACAAAGGAAAATTATCATCGGAGAATGGTAATAATGGCATAAAAAAAAAAAAAAGTTGGCATGAAATTTTTCCACCTTGGATGAAATGTTGTTGAATGAATACACGAGTCCGCACAATCTCGCATATGGCCGATGCACGAATTTTTTTTTTTTTTTTTTATTTTAATTTTTTTTAAATTTTTTTTTATCGATTGGCTTTTCTCTATTTGTCAGCATGCGATTACTCGATCGATTTGTCATCGATTTATCGATTTTTTTAAATATTTTATTACCCATCGAAAACGATCGGTAGAATATTAGAAAAAAAAAAGGGGGGGGGGCAAAGATTGTTTTTAATTTTTTTTATTTTTATTTTTAGCCATTTTGATTTTTACATTTTGTATTCTCCGTCATTATTATCATTATTATCGTTTTGTTTATGTTTATGTTTACGTTTATGTTTTATCAAAGTCGTTGATGATAAGACTTTTCTTTTTTTTTTTTTTTTGCTGTTGTTTTGCTTGTCTCGTTTTAGTTGCTTAAAAATAATATTTTATTTATTTTACCTTTTTTGCGCTGTTGTTGTTGTTGTTTGTCGACAGTTTGAAATTTTATTATCACTATTATTATTATTATTATGATTTTTGTCGTCATTCTATTTATTTTACCTTTTTTTTTTTTTTTTTATAATAATATTACATCGAACACTTTTTTTTCTGTTGCTGCTGTTACTACACACAATCACGTAAATTATTATTATTATTATTAATTTTAAATTTGTTTTATGGGAACACGTTGGGGAAAGTGGGTGGGTTGGAGGGAGGGAAGGGGGACAACGTGGGTGGGCGTTCGCATGTCGTTGGGTATATCATTTGGGAGGTTAAAACAAAAAAATTATTTTTTCTTTCCCCTCCTTGTTTTTCAGGTGCGAAAGATGAAGCATCTTCTGATAAATTCAAATGTGGTAAACCCGTCCAAATCATACAGTTGAAAGATGATCACGTTTTCGAACTCGACGAAGAAGCTTTGGAAAGTATTTTGATGCAAGAACACGTCAAGGATAGGTACATAGTCGTGGTGTCCGTCGCGGGCGCGTTCAGAAAGGGAAAATCATTTTTGTTGGATTTTTTTTTACGTTACATGAGAACGAAGGTAATTATAAAGAAGCAGAAAAAGAAATTATCATTATCATTATCATTATCATTATTATTTTTTATCTATTGTTCGTTCGTTCGTTCGTTCGTTTCAGTACGTTCTTCATCAGGGAGATACCGATTGGCTCGGATCCGCCGACAGACCTTTGGATGGTTTTTCGTGGCGCGGAGGATGCGAACGTGACACGACGGGCATTCTTTTATGGTCCGAAGTTTTTTTGACAGATTTACCGAACGGCGATAAGGTGCGTGATAATTAAATAATAATAATAATACACGTTATTTTTCGTTTTTTTTTTGGGGGGGGTTGTTGTATTGATGATTTGCGATTTTTTGTTTGCAGGTGGGAGTCGTTTTGATGGACACACAGGGAGCTTTCGATTGCGAGAGCACGGTTCGAGATTGTGCAACGGTTTTCGCTTTGAGCACGATGATAAGTTCGCTACAAATATATAATTTGTCACATAACATACAGGAAGATGATTTGCAACATCTTCAGGTACGATACCTTCATCTCGTTAACAACAACAATCAATCGGAGAATTGTTTTTTTTTTTCTTATTTTTTAACCCTCCATTCCCTTCCTTTTTTTTTTTTAGTTATTTACCGAATATGGAAAATTGGCATTGGAGGACATAAAGGAAAAACCATTTCAACGTTTGCAATTTCTCGTTCGTGATTGGAGTTTTCCATACGAGGCTCCGTACGGCGCGGAAGGCGGACAAAAAATATTAACGAGACGTTTAACCGTTTCCGACAAGCAACATCCCGAACTTCAATCCCTAAGGAAACACATAAATTCTTGTTTCACGGACATATCGTGCTATTTAATGCCGCATCCGGGTCTCAAAGTTGCGACAAGTCCGACTTTCGACGGAAGACTATCCGGTAGGGTATATACGAGATGAAAAATGGCGGGAAGACTGAGAGCGGTTGTTAACAATTTTTTTTTTTTTTTTTTCATTTTCCGGTTTAAAAAAAAAAGATATAGAAAACGATTTTAAAAAATGCCTTTCCCAGTTGGTGCCTATGCTTCTCGCTCCTGAAAATTTGATTATAAAACAAATAAGCGGTCAAAAAGTGAAAGCGAAAGAACTCGTACAGTATTTCAAAACATACACGAACATGTACAAAGGAAACGAACTTCCGGAACCCAAATCAATGTTGATGGTGAGCATAACGAAGAAAACGGAAAGGAAGTGGTGTGGGGGGTAAGAGGGAGTGAGGGGGAAAACTCAAATAACGGGAACGATTTTGATTGGTTACAGGCGACAGCAGAAGCGAATAATTTGGCCGCCGTGGCCACGGCCAAAGAAACATATCAGAATCTAATGGAGGAAATTTGCGGAGGAACGAAACCCTACGTCAACACTCAACGTTTGGAAAGCGAACATTATAAAATCAAACACAAAGCCGTCGTTCAATTCACTTCGAAAAGGAAAATGGGAGGAAAAGAATTTTCCGAACAGTATAGGGAAAAATTAGAAACGGTGAGTGAGTGTGTGAGCGAAGGAGCGAGTGAGATGGAAAAAGGAAACGATTGATTTTGAATATTAAAAGTTTTCTCTCTCTCTCTTTTTTCAGGATTTAGACGAATTGTTGGAACAGTTTAGAGCACACAACGAAAGCAAAAACATATTCAAAGCTGCCAAAACTCCGGCCGTGTTCTTCGTATTGGCCAACATATTTTACTTGCTCTCGGCATTGTTCGGATTTTTCGAAATGTATTCGGCTGCAAATTTTTGCAATTTACTCATGGGAATGTCGTTCATTTCCCTGGGAACGTGGGCATACGTTCGGTTCAGCGGAGATTTCGTAGGAATAGGAAAAACTTTGGACAATATCGCGTTAACCGTTTGGGAATTCGTTAGTACTTGTTTTTTTTTTTTTTTTTTTTTTTAAGGAAAATCATTGGATATTATCTCTATCTCTCTCTATCTCGTTGCAGTTTCTCAAACCGTTATATCAGAAATTAATGGGTCGAAGATTAGAAGAAGCAGCTTTTAACGCAGCAAAGACGGCCGCGGCAAGTTTGGCAGGGTCAGCTTTGGCAAATGGAAAATCATCGTGATTGTTGTAAAAAAAGAGAAGAAAAGAAAAAAATTTTAAAAAAAATTATATAAAAAAAAATATAAAAAAATTAGATAGGAGGGAAGAAGAAAAAGGAGAAGAAGGAAAAACGTAATAATAATAATGATGATAATTCACTGTGACAAATTATAAGTGGGGTAGGGAGCGTTTAGTTAAGCGATGAGGAAAGGGATGAATGAATGGATGGATGGATTTTTTTTTCTCCCGGTTATCCGTGTTTATTTATCACGATTCGATAAATGAATAACAACTACTCGTAACTAACAAACAAACAAAAACAAACAATTGTAAAAAAAAAGAATTTATTTAATAATAATAATAATAATTGTTGTTGTTGTTGTTATCAGGTCTTAAAAGCGAAGACATGACATGAAAATGTAGATTTACATATATATATATATAAATTTTTTTTTTTTTTCTTTTTTAAATTAATAATTTATTATTATTAAAATATTTTTTTTCATCCCCCTTTTTTCCCCTCCCCCCCCCACAAAAAAAAAAAAAGGAAAAAACTAATAATAATGATAAATAAATAAATAAATGAAATGTAAATAAATAAAATAAATAAAGTAAATAAAAAAAAAAAAAAAAACGTTAAATGTTTTCATCAATTATTATTTTTAGTTATTTTAATTTATTAATAATAATAATAATAATAATTTATCGTTGTTATTTTATTTACTATTATTATTATTATTATTATTCGTTTTTTTTTTAATATGTTTTTCCTCGTTTTTATTATTATTATTATTATTATTTAAACATTTATCGAACCAGTTGAGAATAATTTAAAAACTATTTTTATTATGATTATTATTACGATTATTATTATTATTATGGTGATGATGATGATGATGATGATGATGATGATGATGATGATGATTTCTTATAAAAAAATGTTTTTTTTTTTTTTTTTTTTTTTTTTTTTTGGCGTAAAAGAAAGAGAGAAAGAGAGAGATAGAAAAAGTTTTACGAAGATTCGTTTCTCATATTATTTTGACGAATGAATTTTTTGCTGTTGTTATTATTATTTCAACTCTTCGTAACTTAATGATAATTATTATTGATGACGTCATAATAAATTATGAATATCAATGAAATTATTATCAATTAATTAATCAGTAATGATTAATAAGTGCGTCGTGAATATAAATAATAATAATAAATAAATAAATAAATAATATTAAATTTTCGTGATATTAATTTGAAAATAATCATCATCATCGTCATTATTATTATTATTATTATTAATATTATTAAACTTTTTTTTTGTTTTGTGATTTATTTATTTATTTAAAAAAAAATTGAAAATAAGTGATATGTAACATAAATTAATAAATAAATTTAATTATATATATATATATAAAGAGACATACTAAAAAAAATGGATAATTTTTTTTTTCTTTTTTTTTTTTTTTTTTAATAGCAAATTATGTGGGGGGGAAAGGGGGAAGGAAGGGGAGAAGAGGGAAGTAGGGAAGGTAATTAAGGAGATGTGTGTTAAAATTTTTTTATTAATTTTTTTTTAATGAAATAATTTATTTAAATGATAATTGAAAATGATATAATAATAATAATCATTCGATTAAAATCAATTTTTATTTTAATGATTTAATTTTTTGTTTAACATGAATAAAAATTTAATTATTAATCATCATCATCATTATCATGGATTTTTTTTAAACAGATTTAATAATGTATATATGTGTGTTTGTAATGTGATTTGATATTAATAATAATTGTTTGGCAATAATAATAATAATAATAATAATAATAATAAAAAAAAGAAAAAACTTTTATTCAATGCACTTGTTAATATTGAGCATAAATAATTTTATGTTTGACGAAAAGTAAAAAACGAAAAAATTTTTCTTTTTCCTCCTCCTCCTCCTCTTCTTTCAATATAAATATTAAGGATTGTTAAATGTGTGTTAAATGAATTTTAACTTCTTTTATGTTAAAAAGAATATAATTTATCAATTTGTTAATGATGATGATGATGATGGACATTGTTTCGATTGTGAAATGAAAACGAACAAGAAAGAAAAATTTTAAAAGTTTTCGTTTATTTGTTTTCCTTAACATTTATTTTTTTAATAATTTTAATAATAATTAACAATTAATTAAAATTATAACTTATTATTAACTTTTTCTATTAAAGTTTACCAAACATTTTTTTAACAATCAAATTATAATTATCTCTATTAGTTTTATCTAAATCTCTAACTAATTTAAATTTTTCAATTGCAGCTTTGTTATTCGGTTCCAATTTGATCAATTCCAATAAATCATTTTGTGCTTTTTCATATTCTACAAGTTCAATATAAGCAAGAGCTCTTCTGTACAATGCTTTCGATGTTGAATTTATATCAATAGATTTGCTACAAAGATCAATAACGTATTTGTAATTTTTAAAATGTAATTGACACCTTGCTAAATTATTATATAAAGCTATTATTAAATTATTTATATCCGGCCGGGGTTCGTCATATTCTAAAACCTCATCTAATGTTAATAATAATTTTAAAGCATTGCTAAATTTATAAAAAGCTTCTTCTATATTATTGTCTTTGAATAATTGTGCTCCTTTATTTTTTAAAACATTCGATTCATTTATTTTTTCTTCGTCCGTCCATTCGAATATATATGGTTTTTCTAAGTAAGATATTAATATAATTGTCACTTTTAAATCGTTAACATTATCAACGGATTTAATAACGAATAAACTTTCTTCATCCAAATGCATCGTTTCAACGCACCTTTCGATTAACCTGTCATAACTGTTGCAACCATAACCGATAACAATATCGATAACTCCCGTTTTAAAATTATCATTATCGTACGTTTCGTTTAAAATGATTTCTATTCTACAATTCCATGTTAAAAAAGGTCTTTTACCCTGTTTTCCTTTTTTTATTATTTTCTTTTCAATTTCCGTACTTATTTCAACGAAATCATCATCTATCATTTTAAATTGTAAACAAGTGTGTCAGTCGGTACAAGTTGAATTAAAATTTGACGTGGGAGTAGAAAATTCATCATGGCGTAATGTTAAAACTCGTATTCGCCATGGCGCAAAAATATATATTGTTAATAAAGATATGATGTGAAAACGTATCGAATTAAAATGTTTGGATCAATTAAAAATAGAATTCCTCCGGTTGTGTATAAAATAAGTTACGTCGCAACGAGCATTTGTGGAATTTATCTTTTGAGGTTATTTTTTTTTTTTTATATGATAATTTTAAAATCAATTATTTTTTATGATTTGAAAATATTTTTAACGGTTTTATCAATCGTTTGTTTTTTTTTTTATATTACAGAGATACTTTCAGCGGATCAAAATTTGATAAAGACGTAAGATGTGATAAAAAAGTTGCCGTTGTTACGGGTGGTAATTCAGGGATTGGTAAAGCCACTGCTGAAGCTCTAGCACAAAAAGGAGCTGTTGTATATTTATTATGCAGAGATAAATACAGATGCGCAACGGTAAAATCTTTTTTATTATTAATTTTCTTAAAAAAAAAAAAAGTCATCAATTTTATTAATCAGAAGAAATTTTTATTTTAGGCTAGAAAAGAAATTGTTTTAAGAACAAAAAACAGATATGTTTATGCAAGAGAATGCGATTTGGGATCATTGAGTTCGGTTAGAGCTTTCGTCGAAGAATTCAGAAAAGGTTCAATCATCATTCAATTTTTTATTGTATTAATTTGATGACAATAATTAACCTAATTTTCTAACTTGCAGAAGAGGAAAAGGTAGACATATTAATAAATAATGCTGGAGTTTGGAGAGTACCGAGAGAAATAACCAAAGATGGATTTGAAGTACATTTGGGTGTTAATCACATGGGTCATTTTTTCTTAACAAATCTTTTATTGGATCTTCTAGTCAAAGCAGCACCTAGTCGTATAATAAATGTATCTGCCGGTTGTCATTCGAAGGGAAAAATAAATAAAGATGATTTGAATAGCGATAATAACTATTCCGAAAAAGAAGCTTACTATCAAAGCAAATTAGCTAATATTTTATTTACTAAAGAATTATCTGAAAGATTAAAAGGAACTGGAGTAACAGCAAATGCAGTCGATCCGGGAACAACGGCAACAGATTTATATCGTGTAAATGATTCTTCCATAATTACAACAATAGGAACATATTTTTTAAAACCGTTTATTTGGATATTTGCAAAATCTCCCTCAGGAGGTGCTCAAACTGTACTCTATGCTGCATTAGATCCAGATTTGGAAAAAGTCACTGGAAAATATTTCGAGTGAGTAAAAATAAAATTTTTTTTCACTTTACCGATTACCTTCATTAATAATTTAATTTTTTATCGTAGAGAGTGTAAAGAAAAGGAAGTGGCACCACAAGCAAATGATGATAAAATGGCTAAATGGTTATGGGCAGTTAGTGATAAATGGACGAAATTAAAGGAATATCCACGTGATGAAAATGGCTACGTAGTGTTTTCTTAATTAATTTCTATATTATTTTCATTATTAATTACCATGTTAATCTCATTCATTCATTTTTTCTCTACATAAATGTTATCATATATATTTAAAAATATAAATTTTTATCATCAGAATATAATCCGACAAGTTTTAATGATCTTCTATAAAGTTCTGCTGCTTGGCGATCTTCTTTTGCTTGTTCAGCGGGTTCGGTGATTTTACAATTGCTAAAATAAAATACATAACAAAAAAAATCATTTCTAAACCCGATTTAATTATAAATTCAAACTTCATACCTGAAATATTTTCCAGAAACATTTTTTAATTCAGGCGCAACGGCCATGTATATAATTGTCTGTGCTCCTTCTTCAGGTGTTTTCATAAATAACCAAATCCAAGGACTTAAAAAATATTTTATTATTATAGATGTTGAAATTCTTGATTTTTTATAAAAATTTGTATATTTAACCAAACCGGGATCTCCAGCGTTTATCGTCACGTTCGAACCTGAAATTTTCACGTATTATTTTAAGGTTCCCTCAAGGTTTTCTTTACGAAAGCGATAGATAACTACCTTTTAATATTTTACGTGTCATGTGTCTCGCCATCATGACCAAAGCTAATTTACTCTGACTGAAAGCTTTATTATAATTATATTCAAATTCGTTATTTAAATCTCCCAGATTTAATTCCCCGGTGTAATGAGCTTGAGCTGATACGTTAATTATTCTTCCATTTTCTGATGCTTTTAATTTAGGCAGTAAAAGATGTGTCAAATAAAAATGTGATAAATAATTTGTTACTAAATGCGTTTCAAATCCTTCTTTCGTTTTATTAAATTCTAGAAAACCAATTCCGGCATTGTTTATGAGCACGTCAATTTTCGATTCGTTTTCTACAAAATAAAATTTTATTATCATTAATTTAAAATCCAAACGTTAATTGATAATAATAATAATAATAATCACGTAATGAATCCGCAAATTCTCGAACGGATTTCAATGAAATTAAATCAAGATGTTTTATAATTATTTCATTTTCTTTTATTGATTCTCGAATTTCTTTCTTTATATTTTCCATAGCAATTTCCGGTTGTCTCGATCCAATTATTATTTTTCCACCTCTTTTTTTAAGTTCTTTAACAATTTGACATCCTATACCACTTGATCCTCCGGTGATTACAATCGTTTTCCCATTTATCGTTGCCTTACTCGGACAATGAGTTCCGCCAAAATAACATCTATTAAATCCATCATTTCTTTTATTACGAACGATTTTATAAACTCAAAAAAAAAATAAAAAAAGTACTTTACCTCAAAGTTGTTATTATTCCAACGGTTATTGCTATTATAAATGGCCACCAACTATCGAACGGACCGGAAAAATTAAAATCTTTAAATAAATCGTTCATTTTTAATAATAATGAGAATATAACATTTCGATGTGTGAGAAAAACTCAACAACAGAATCCCCCGCACGGATGTATTTTAATTAATTGTAATTACGGACATGGTTACAAAATGGCGGAAATTTACGCGCTCAATTGTTGGAAAAAATGTCGCAATAATGCAAAGAAGCAGAGGATGATGATGATGATACGTCACTCATTCGGTGTCTTTTTCGCGAACACTTCATGTTATTCCTATCCGTACGAGAAATAACGTGATTTTTATTAACTGTTAAAAAAAAAAAAAAAATATTAATTTAAATTATGTTATCAATCATTTTTAATATTCGTAATTATTTATTAAACGTAAGATTATGATATATATAGATTTTTATTTTAAATTTATAAAATTCTGTCAGAACATTTAAACAAAATTCAATTTATAATTTAAACACACCGTAATAATAATTATAATATTATAAAAACCAAACTCATGTTTTTTTTTTTTTTTTGGATATTTTGTGTGTATAATATTTTAATAAGACATGAAATTTTCATTTTGATTTTTTTTTCTCCAGTATTCATTCAATTCATGATAATTATAAATTTTTTTTTTCTTTTTTGAACGGTAAAAATTTTATTACCATCAAAACTAACCTTTTTTTATTATAAAAAAAAAAAAACGTTTAATTGATTTAAAAAAATATTTTTAGTTTTTTTTTGATTTTAAGGTCGTAATAATGAATGTTATTAATATTTTTTTTGTTTTTTTTTGAAAAGGATTTAATGTGATTAATCAATCATGTCCAGCAACAAGTGTAAAAATTGCGGATGTGCAGAAATAGATGTTGATCCAGCAAGAGGTGATGCTGTTTGCACCAATTGTGGATCTGTTCTCGAAAGTAATATTATTGTATCATCTGTACAATTTGAAGATAATGCTCATGGTGGAAGTACAGCCATAGGACAATTTGTCGCATCCGATTCAAAAGGTGGTGCCAGAAGTTTCGGGGGGTGTAAGTATACATAGTAATATTAATTTTTAACAACAAAATCATTATCATCGATAAATACAATTCAAAAAAAAAATTAAATGATTGTTAGAAAAATATTATTTAAAGACATGTTAATTAATAACCTTGATAAATATTTTTTGTTTTAAATTCGATAAGTAACATTTTTAACCTTAAAAGACGATATTCGATGATTTTCTTTTTAATCTCATGTTTTCTATCATCGAATGAAAATTTCTATTGAATATTTTAGTTTTAAAAAAAAAAAGTATTCATTTGTAAAACTAGGAAATTATAATGTAATATTAATAATAATTAATATAAATTACATTTGTTTCCCCCCCCCCTCATTCCCACTTGTGACTAATTTTTTTCTGTTTTAACTTTTTAGCTTTTCATACGGGATTAGGAGTTGAATCGAAGGAAATCACACTTAGAAATGCGAAAAAAAAAATAACTGATTTAGCTCATCAAATGAGGTAATTATTATAATTATTAAGTATTATCACAAATATTAAAAAAAAAAAAAAACTTTGTATCGATCATATGTGTTAATTGTAAAAAGTTTTAAAATGAAAAAATTGTCGAGTTCAAGTTTGAGAAGTCATTTCATCGGTTAATTGATTTATATGTTCGTTAATAACAATAACATGATTATCATCATCATCATCATCACCATGATCTTGAGTATTTTTATACATTTTAGCCATTGTTTGACTTTTTCTTTTTTTACCATAAAACCATTTAAATATTCCAACATAAGTAACAATTAATATAGCCAATAGTGGTCCTATGACGAACCATAATTTTTTATGTTCGTTGTAACTATGTGATATTCCATTTTCTTTGTAAGACGTTAATGGCGCTTGAACTTCTTTTTGCAATATCATTACATCATGGTGATGTTGTTTTTCCGTGTCGTTATTAAAATATTTTTTCTCCTCGACCGTTACGAAATCCGTATTCGCGAGGGATTTTTTAATTTCCGTCGTGGTTTTATCAATTCGAGTCGATTGTGTCGTTTTCGTCCTGTAGGTGGTACTCGATGACGTAGCAGACGACAACGACGACGAGGAAGATTCGTTCACGTGATTATTTTCAAAACCGTTACAAACGAGAGATGTTTTATTCGAACAATAACTCGTGAGAATATTCGAAAGTGATTGTATCGAACAGTTTTTATTTTCCTCGCATGTATTTTTATTCGTGACTATGTATTTGGTATAGAATTCGACGTGTTTCGAAATTTTCGGACCGACTCCGTGAAGTATGCTCATCCAACCGAAATTCGAACAAGAACAATTGAACACGTTATTTTCGACCGTAATGACGCCGCAAAGATTTCGTATTCCCGCCCAATTCGGATGCAACGATCCGGGATTTATCATTTGTATGCGATTATCGGAAAATTTATATAAGAATTGTACCGCCAAATCGTAATTTAAAAATGCACCATAAGAAAAGGAAATGGTTTCCAAGGCCCTCGTATCTAAATGATTAAATTTATTTTTAACAATTTCTATCTTCGTTGCTGACACATCAAATCCTTCGTTGCTTATTTCTTCCACGTTGTTGTCGGTGAATAAAAAATTTTTCGTTCTGCACGTCAATCCTCTCGTTTGAATATTTCCGAAAGTATTTCCGATCCACGATATGCTCTGTAACAAACAAACAAACATGAATAAATCAATTACATGTCGTTCTTATATGTATGTATATATATGTAAATATTTACGTTTCGACTTTTGAGTTGTATCGAATTAGGTGAAAGTTCTGGAAAAATCGAATTCGATATGACGATATCGGAAGTCATGAGAGATATAGGATCATCGGCGTTCACCGTTTGAACCGTTAAATTTTTCAATATGACTCGATTTAAATTTTTTCCCTTGAACAAATCCGTGTAAAATTTTTTTAAAACTAAACTATCCAACGTCACGTTCGTCAATTGAACGAATTGGTATTTGCAAGCATCTCCCGGTTTATCAAATGATTCCGGATGCCATATTATGTTTCGAACGTTTTGTATGTTTAAATTATAGGGTAGTTGAGGGAAGGGTGCGTTGTCGTGAAGGTACTGTCCGTAGGAAGACGGTTTTAAAATTTCTAACGTTGTCACATTGATCACGTTGAATTTTTTTATTATGTAATGTCTGGTTCCTCGCGTGCAATCCACGTGTACTTGTAACTTTCCACAATTTTTAACTGTGAATGTTTCCGTGTTCTCTGGTAGTCTCGCCGTCCAAATCCACACTCTCGCATTTCCTAAATCACTTGAATCATTCTAAAAAAAAAAAACAAACAAAAAATGGAAAACATAACGTAATGTTGTCGTTGTCGTTGTTGTTGTTGTTTCGATTTTAATATCATTTTACCTTTTTCTGAAATGGAAAAAAATTAGTCGAATCGTGAATCGTATTCCTTTTTTTTGTCGTACACGTGTATATGACTTCGGTACCTTCGCAAGACCATCCGTTTTGTCCGCACGATTCGAATCCCGTGTAGTCCGAATGCACGGTGAAAAAATAGTTGTCGCCGTCGTCGTCGTTGTTGTTGTTGTTGAAAAACAACAAACCTCCCGGTAATGCCGACAAAAAGAGTAAGAAGAGGAAAATCATTTTGACCGTGTTGTCACCCGACCGACTCTCGAACTGTTTTTATTAACCGAGGGTTTATTTTATTGAACATTGATCGTTGCGAACGGGATGTCGTCAAAAAATATCTCGAACTCGAACGTGGAACGATAATAATTAAATTGTTTGTTTCGCAGGTTGAATCAACATTGCATCGAAATAGCGTATAATTTTTTCAAAATGGCTTTGAGCCGACATTTAACGAGGGGCCGTAAAACTGGAAACGTTGTAGCTGCTTGCGTTTACATGACTTGCAGGATGGAGGGAACAGCTCGTATCCTTTTTCAAAAAAAAATTTTTTTTTTTTTTCTATCTTTCTTTCTTTCACGTTCGACGTTCGTTAGAACGGAAAAAGAAATTTTCCTATATTTGTTAATTCAGACATGCTAATAGATTTTTGCGACGTTTTGGACACCGTGGGAGTGTACGAACTAGGGAGAACGTATTTGAAATTATCTCAAGCACTCTGCATAAACATACCAGCTTTGGGTGAGTGATTGATTGATTTTCTTTTCTTTTTTTGGGGGGGGGAGGAGGAGGGAGGGGGTAAATTAAACGCGAGTTCGCGAGAAAAGATTTTAAACAATGTCATTATTTCGATAAGTGAAAGTCAATTAACGAACGAATTTTTATTAAAAAGTAAATAAAATTAAAAACAAAACAAAACAATAGTCGAGTAAATAAAGAAACGTGGAGTCTTTTCAAAGAGCATTGGGAAGAGAGAGGGGGGGGGAGGAGAGGTAGAGGAGAAAAACAATGAGCCCTAGAAGAGTGAGAGAGAGAGAGAGAGAGAAATTGATATGAGTACCAAAAACATTGATAATAAGTAATAAGTCTTCCTACGCTCCTTCCGTCAGTTTTATCAAAAAGTTCGTTTTTTGTTTTTTTCTCTTTCTTATTAATGCTTATCATTTGTCCTTGAATGAGTGTGTGCGTGTGTGTGTGCGCGTGTGTGTGATTTTACAATACAATTCTTGGAGAAAATCTTCGAATGGATTTTTCGAATCGAGTTCGATTAAATTATTCGATGAATCGTTCGATGTATCGATCTCTACAAAAAAATTTTTTTTTTTTTTTTTTTTTTTTTTATTCGCGTCGTGGAAACGAGAGAGAGAGAGAGAGAGAGGGAGAGGGAGAGGGAGGGAGGGAGAAACCATGGAAATGCCGATTTTGGTTGGAAAAAACTGTCGGATTTAACGTTTGTCGTTTGTCGTCGAAATTTGTTCGCCATGACATTTTTCTAACGACACTTTTTTCGTTTTTATTTAACGTTTCGCGCGTAATTTTTTTTTTAACGAACTTTTCGCGTTTTTCATTCTTGCTCCCCGCCCCGCGCCCCCCCCCTTTAATGGCATTTTTGATTTTTTTGATCTTGGTTTGTTGGTTATTATTAAATAAGTAAAAATGAGTAGAAAAAAAAGGAAAGGAAAGGACGTTAAGAAGGAGAAAAAAAAACCGTTAAATAATTCATTTCAACTATTTATTATTATTATTATTATTATTATTATTAATCATTATTATTATTATTGCTTTTTTCTGACATTCGTTTATTTTTTTATTTTATTTTATATAAAACGAAAAAGTTTGTAAGAACGCGTGTACTCGTGTTAATTTCCATTTTAATTTTACGAATACGATGCGATCTCACATGAAAATAATGATTATTATTATTATTATTATCATTATCATTATCATTATCATTACTTTTTAATTATTATTAATAATAATAATTTAACCGTAAGAATTCCGGTCGAATATAACTGTCTGAAACGAGTTTTAAAAAAAAATAATAAAAAAAAAAGTCACACGCGTAAATTGCACGAGGGAAATTTCGTCGCGTTTAAAATTGATGATAATAATAATAATAATAATAATATTAATAATATTAATGATAATGATAATGTAAATTTTTTTTTTAATGACGGTTGGTTGGTTTTGAATCAGTTTCCATATAGTAGTTAATCGTTTAAATCGTTTTCAAAAAAAAAAAAAAATTCAAAAATACTACTAATAGTAATAATAATAATAATAATAATAATAATAATAATAATAATGCGGAAAAGTAAAAAAATTAGCCTTATTCATTCAATTATTTATTTATTTATTTTTTATTTATTTATTTTATTTTTGTCTCTACAAAAAAAAAAAAAAGGTAAGAAAAGAGAAACCTAGAGTAAAACACGTCTACGTAATTTTTTTTTTTTTTTTTCAATACTCGTTCGTTTGAATTTTCCCTCGGGAAACCCTCGGGTACCTGCTGGTATACCTGTTTAATGCGAATACGAAAATATGAATCGTTTTAGGGGAGAGCTTTAAAATAAATTCGTTTGCTAACATTATTTCTCTCTCTAATTTTTTGTAATCTTTGAGGGGGGGGGGGAACGGGAAAAAAAAAAAAAACAAAATGTCCGAAATCTCCATGATGATGACGTCACATACAGTCTAAAAATTTTATTATTATTATTACAATTATGCACACACACACATATATATGTACGCGCGTGTGTGTGTGTGCCTGTATGCCATTTCGTCTTCGACTTGATCCATTTATTTATTTATCGTTTAAAACAATAATAATAATAATAATAATAATTGGAAACGTTATTTTTTAAAAAAAAATTAATAATTCGTTCGCGTAAAATAATTTAAAATAATAAAATTTAAAAAAAAATTATTACTAACAATAAAAATAATAATAATAATAATTTTAAAAACATATCGCATCACTTTTTCGATTTGGACATGAATGTTTGTGTACAGGTATGTTGTGTCCGCAACAACAATTGCATAAGTATCATCAAACGGTATAAAAAATTAAACGAGGAAAAAAACGTTATGATGATGATGATGATTATAATGATTGTGGTGGTGATGATGATGATGATGATGATGATGGCCTCTTTTTTAATAAGCGAGAACGAATAGTTTGGCTTGTTTCGATTGACCTTGTCAGAGTTCTTCGGCCGGAGGTGTGGGACCGTAAAAAATGAGTTCGGGTATTTGTCCTCCCTGAACTCCCGTTCCGTTGGTGCTTTCGCTCGAGCTTTGAAATTGAAACGTGACGCATCCGACGGTGACTTCGCTGAGTCCCTCCTGTCCGAAATAACTCAGTTCTCCGCCGTCCAATATGGCGGACGCCGTGTAAAAGGATTCGGGTTCGATTTGTATCGGGTTTTCGAAGTAGACGTGAAACGTGTTGCTCGAACCGTCCGAAAAGAAATTCGTGTTGTACTCGGCGAGTATTCGACCCAATCTCTTGAGTTCGATTTTGACGTTGTAAGGCGCGGCTCCGCTGGAAGACCCGTAAAAACCGAATCCGACGACGAATATCCTTTTGTCGACGGAAAATTGTATGCTATCACATCGGCCCCGGTAGCGCCATTGATTATTCCTATACGCGCAAGATTGAAACCTATGACATACCTGAAACAAACGGGAAAGGGAAAAAAAAAAAAAAAATGTTAAGAAACGATGAAGAAGCGCGCACGCGTGTGTTTGTGTATGTGTGTTTGTGTATTGAAAAATTCGATTCGTTTCCGGAACGAAAACAAACAACAACAACAACAACAACAAAATTTCATCCCTTTACCCCCCCCTTCTTTTCCCCTCTCCCCCTTTACCTGAGGTCTAAGACCGGTTCTCTCTCTTATGGGATAGTTCAATAGCGGTTTATAATCGGCGGTAAAATTTAAAAATATGTCTATGGTTTCTTGTGGCGTGAGAATACCTTGCTGAGCGGCCCCATTGGCAAATTCTTCTAGGCTCATTGTGGGTATTCTTATCAGGTAGAGAGCACTTCCTAAAACGTTTCTCTTGTTTTGCGGCGTGGGCTCTAAATCCAACCGAAAACATTCGGCCGTCGCCCAATTGAGAGCCGCATCGAACAAATGTATTTCTTTACAATTGAGAGTTTCTCTCGATAAAACGGATTCTAACGTGTGTATGTCAATGTCTACGAAACAATCCGCTTTCAGTGCCATTTCAGCCTGAAAAAAAAAAGAAAAGAATAAGATACTCGTTGGGGTTTAATACGGTTTTAAAAAAACGCACGCACGCACATATATATATATATATACATACATATATGAAAAGTGTATATTGTTAATATTGACATGCAACACCAAAAGGGATATCGTGGGGGAGGAAAGAGTGGACAAAGGTGGTGGTAGACGATCGGGTAGGTACGGTTGTCGTGTGGATGTTCGGGGGACAAGAAACGTGTGACAAAATCAAATCAAACATCGAAATATATAAAGCACGGATAAATAATTCAACGTACCTGTTTACAAAACTCTGGCAGAGCGCGAGAGAGAAAAAAAAAAATTAATTTTTTTTTTTTTTTTTTTTTTTTTTTTTTATTTGAAAACGTTCGCGTGCGCGCGATTCCTTCTCCTCTTCGAACGTGAAAAGTATAGAAAAAAAAAAAAAAATAATTCGAACGGAAAATTGAACGGTGAAAATTGAACTTGGTGACGCGCCGTCGGGAAAAGGGTGAAAAGTAAAAATGCGTGAGAAATACACTAACGTCCGTTTTTTTAATAGTTATCATTATCATTATCATTATCATCATTTTAAAAAAAAGAGAAAGAAAACGTCACTCGCCAGGCTCATAAACAGATTTTTAAATTAATTAACAAAAAAAAACTTCGACACTTATTATCATTATTATTATTTACGGTTTCGTTAAAAAAATTATGGCGGTTTGGTTTACGGGGGGTTAGGCGGGAGACGGGGGTAGGGTAGAGTGGGGGAGGGGATAACGCGGTAAAGCAAAAAAAAAAAAAAATTAAAAAAAAATTTGAGCCGTTGTCATGTCAATATTAAAACACAATATTATTAATACAACCTCACATAATTTATTAAAATTTTTTTTTTTTTTTTTTTTTTTTTAATGGAATTTTCAATATCGAGTAAATAACACATTATTATCATTATTATTATCATTATCATCATTAGAAAATGCGTTGCGAAATTCACCGGCTTTTAAAATAAATCGGTCGAAAAGAAAAAAAAATAATAATAATAATAATGACAACACAATGGTAATTACAATTACAGTTATTGTCATTATTATTATCATCGTCAATCGTTAATTAATTGATTTTCGATATGTTTCGATATGTCGATTGATTGATTGATAGCAAATATAAAAGATATGTTCCGGTTTTCTCTATTTTTCTCAAAGAAAAATAATAATGACGAGCACGTAGATTTCGCAACGCATCACACAAATATATGTATGTATGTATATATACACGTGTGTGCGTGTGCGTGCGTGTACGCACAATCGATAATAATAATTAAATTAAACATTAGTAGTAGTGATGACATCAAAAAACAAAAAAATTTTGACAATACACGGTGGAGAATAATTTTGCAAGGCAAAAAAAAAAAAAAAAATGTTATTACTACAGCGATATTATTATTATTATTATTATTATTATTATTATTATTATTATTATTATTATTATTATTATCATTATCATTATTATTATTATTATGCGCGTACAGGTTTGAGCAAATGAGTAGTAAAATTTTTTTTTTTTTTTTTTGCCTCGTTTCTGTTTTTTTTGTGACCGAACAACAAAGTCACAAAGAAGACATTTTTTGGTTTTCTCAAGTGTGAACACACGCACACACGCACACGCACACACACCCACACTCAACACACACCACATAAATACACCAATTAAAAAGCTTTAAATTTTTTTTTTTTTTTTTTTTTGCAAGCGTTAGTTAATAATTTTTATTATTGTTATTAATATTATTATTAATATTATTATTATTATTATTATTATTATTATTATTATTATTATTATTATTATTCTCCAAAACGCAACACTTAATCAATATTTGTAACATGATCACATCAATTAGAAAAAAAAAAAAAAAAAAAGCCATCACAACAATATGATATATGAATAATTGATAATAATATAAATAACAATCGTACAAATATTATGATTATGAGCATTATTATTATTATTATTATTATTATTATTATTAATGTTGAAAAGTGCGCGGTCGTCGACAAGAGAGTAAAAAATTAATTAATTGAATCGAAGTCAGGAAAAAAAAAAAAAAAAAATGGTGGTTTATGAAATCGATTGAGGGTTGTTACTATTGGACATTAATATCCTTTGAGAATCCCCGCATTGACTAGTAGGAGGATTTGGTGGTGGATCATCACCGCTAATATTGAGAGTGTGAAGACTGCTGGAGAGACGTACCTGCGCATCGATGACTTCCCAACACCTTTGCATCAAATCAGGCTCTTCGAAAAGTCTCGATTGACTCAATAGCATGCAAGCATTTTTGGCAGTTAGACTAGTTTCAAGATAGTTCACACATGCTTTGGCCAAATGTGGAACAATGTATTTTTTAGCAGCATACAATGTTGACAATATGGTATCAGCTTCCAATTGAATTTCATCACAATAGAGATACCTGAAAGAAGGAGAGAGAGAAAGAAAATGAATTGTCGTAATGAATGACATGACACAACCATCATTGGGATCGTCGATATCTTCCTGATTGATTGAAGATTTAGAAGGGGGAGAAGAGAAAAAAAGAAAAAAAAGAAAAAAATCTTACTTTAGAAGAATGAGAAAAGCAGAAGGATCAACATCCGGTACTAGAATTTCTTCGCTGCTTTCAGCAAGACCACCATAAAACATTGCATAAAATACTGAACTACCAGTGGCTAATACATATTTGTGAGCAGGAATCGTTTGCGTGTGACCTGAAAACAAAAACTTTTCATCAAGCATTCACATCGTTGATGATTCCTCCTACGGACAAAGAACTAGCACAACTTTCATACCTGGACAACCCACTGTGAATTTAACATCTGCCATGAGTTCATTGTTGAACATGGCTGCATTTCTCTCTCGTACAGAAGGTTTACTCGCTTGCCAATTGGGATCTAATGTGGTGAGTTGATTTGAATTATTTACATTGAAATTATTTGTGTTTGTCATACCAGGGCTGGATAAGGGAGAACTTGTTGCAGACGCTGGTTGTGTGATTTGTGTCGTTTCCCTTTGTAAAATACCATGAGGGGGTGACAGAGATGCGCCTCCATTGTTCAAGCTCTCGGCTAAAATAAATTGAAATTCATTCATTAAAATACAAAAAAAAAACAACAACACGAGAGAGGGAGAAGGGACAGGGAGAAAAAAAGAAAAAGAAAAGGAAAAGGAAGAGATAAATAAAGAAATAAATAAAGAAAGAAAGAAAAAAAAAGAAATTAAATTAAAAGGTTTCGTCTTATATGACCGAAACCAAAATGTTATTGTAAACTTGGCCAGTAAAAATGAAAACGCCTTTACTACAAGGCTGTGAAATCAAATGAAAATATTTAAGAAAATGAACAAGTGTTTACATATAAAATGATTATTATTATTATTATTATTATTATTACGTGTCGTCGAAATTAAAATAACAACAACGACAACAACAACAATAACAAAAAAAGGCGTAAAAACAAAAATCGATTAAAACGTACCATTAACCCAAGCATTCGTTTGCGAAACTTGTATGTTTTCTTGTAATTTTTTAACGGGTTTTGTAGTTTTCTTACTGTACAAATTAGCCATCGCCATTTTTATTAGGATTTTTTTTTTTTTAATTAAAAAACAAATCGTCGTGATTTCATTTAAAAACCGGGAAAAAAAAAAAAAACAAAAAGTCACGAGAGAAAGAAAAAAAATAATAATAATAGTAATAAGAAAACACCGAAATTATTATGAGAATGTTATTAATAACAACAATGGTAATCGTAAACGGCAGCCATTTTACTATAGATAACCCTTGCGGAGAAGTTTCGAATCAATAATGCAAACTTGATTTAAACTAAGATGATGTTAGTCGACCACGTTAATCGAATGAAAAGCATTAGTTTTTTTAAAAAAAAAAAAAACAAACGAATATGTGCGAGACGAAGTTTGACGATTGCGTACAAGCGTGCGGGTTTTTTTTTTTTTATATTGTCTCGAGTCATTTTTACGTTTTAAAAATCTTTTTAAATTAATTGATTGAGGGGGTGAGGAGGAGGGAGGTCGGTTTCTTTTTTTGGTTTTCGAAGGGGGCGGACGGGAGGGGGAGGGTGACGTCGGCGTCGGCAGCAAAATAAATTCACGGAGCATGCGGAAAAAAAAAAATCGTATTATCGTATTCTATATTGATTTTTTTTTGGATACGTGACGTCACGAATGTTTTTCCTGTTGTTGTTCTCCACGTGGGGAGCCTTTTTCGGTGTAGGGGGGGGGGAGAATGAAATAAAAACGAAGGAGGAAGTGAATTTTTTTTTTTTTTTTTTTTAAATTTGAATTTCTGTCGTCGAATTTTTTTTTTTTTTTTAATTTTGAATAATTATTCAATGCAGATCCGTTGTCGTCGTCACCGTCGTCGTACTTAATATAATGTTAGCCTAAATTTTTTTTTTTTTTGCTGTCGTTTCCGGTTCAAAAGTTGAAGTTGAAGAGGGAAAGGGGAAAGGAAGGGGATAAAAGAATGAAAAGAGCGATTTTGACGTTTTTCCGTACCTGACGATTGCATCGGCCTGAAAACGCGATCCTCTCTCAGTTCGACCACGTTTTGATCGTTGGTATTATTGGTGGTATTGGTGGTATTATTATTATTATCTTCTTCTTTTTCCGTTGAAAAATCCAAAAGGAGAGATTCGAGGATTTGATTCGTTCTTTCGAGTGGTTCGTGTGCCGAATTGACGATGTCCAAACACCGGTAGACGAAATACAAAACGTCCAAACGTGGGGGTACCAGCCAGGGCAACAAATGACTTTTCGTCGTGTTTATCCCCTGAGTTAATCTTTCCAACTTGTTCATATTTGAAATCGGCCGAGTTTCATCACTGATAAAGAAAAGAAAAAACAATAATAATAATAATGATGATGATGATGATGATGATGATGATGCGTGCGTAACGATAATGAATGAATGAATGAATGAATGTTTCGCGAGGATTCCGCGTCCGAGAATTCCACGGGGGGGGGCAAGGGGGTGGAATGCATAAAACGTCGAGCCTCGTCGCACTATTAAAAATAATAAAAATTTCGGGGGAGGCCATTTTCGCCCCCTCCCACCTCTTCGTAAAAGAGGGTGGGGAGGGAGGACGAAAAAGGTTACCCCCGATTTCCCCCTCCCCCTCGTTCCTCTCGATTGCGAAAAACTCATTACTAAATTAATCATTTACTAATTAGAAATTTCGATTATGAAAAATCTAAATCGGCGAACGTTTTTTCCCGAACAAAAAATAATAATAATGATAATAATAATGATGATGATAATAGTATAAATGAATAATCAATTAAAGGTTTGGATTTTACAGGTTGTCACGTAGGTACGAGGTAATTATTTTTTATAAGGTGTCGACCTTCTTAATATTTTGTGTCGTTCAATGTAAATATTATTGATGATGATGATGATGATGATAATAATAATACTAATCGTTATTGTTGTTTTTGTTATGATTATTATCATCGCGTTATCGTTTTTTGTTTTTTTTTTTTTTTTTTTTTTTGCGGGTGACGTTAATAATATGATGAACTTGACGTTCAAAGGTGTAATCCCGGTACATTTTTTTAATTGTGACGCATGAGAAATGCGTGACATGCGTGACGACGATACACGCACGATGACAAAGATGATGATGATGATAATTTTAAAAAAAAAAAAAAAAAAAAAAAAAAATTTTTTTCCTGTCGAATTAACGTCAACGCGATTTTTTTTTCCCCTGTTCGAATTGCATTCGGGGTTTACGTTAAAACGCATAAAATGAAATTTAAATAATAATAATAATAATAATAATAATAAATCGTGAATCGTTTATCCGTTTGTTTGTTTGTTTGTTTGTTTGCACAAGAGTATATTTTTTTTTGTCGACATTGTTTACAAAAATCGATGTCAATGCCTTCGACCTTAGTCGTCGTCGTCGTCGTTTTTGTTTTTGTTTTTTTTTTTTTTTTTTTTTGGCATGCATGCCATCGACTCGGAATGATAATCACGTTTCTCTCTCTCTCTCTCTCTCTCTCTCTCTCTCTCTTTCTCTCCTCGAACGTTTTTTTTTTTTTTTTTTTGGAAATGTCAACCCGGTTGATTGACTCATCATTGATTTATTATCAAGACGTGACATGTTGTTGTTGTTGTTGTTGTCGTTTTAATAACATAAACAATTCACGCGTTCGTTTTCTTTTCTCTCTCTCTCTCTCTCTAAACAATATTATACCCAAGGTAAAATTTGATAGACGAGGGAGGGAATGAGGGGGTGAGGAGGTGAGGGGAACGAGCTCCTTGGGAACGGTGGTGCTCTCAAAAGAAAGGGAAAGTTTATGGCTGGGAATAAAAGTGGTGAAAGTTAATAATATAATACCGGCGAGTTTGTAATTACATAACACATAAAATAATGATCACGATGATGATGATGATGATGATGATGATGATAATAATAATAATAAAACTAGTATTAAAGATTGAATAATTTGTTACGTGCTATTTGGTTCGAGAGAGTTGAATTTACATATATATTTTTTTTTCCTTATTTTTCCAGGGGGAAAGAATAAAAAATAATAATAATAATAAATGGCGGTAATATTAATGATAATAATAATAATAATAATAATAATGTCGTTTCGTAACGTTTGCAGTAAATTATTTGTTGGTTCTCCTCTTGCGACAAAAAAAAAAAAAAAATGTTAATTAATCGGAATTAATTCTCCCACTTTTTTTTAGTTCCACGTGAAATTGAATTTATTAAAATTTTTTATGCGCGACATAATGATTAGGAAAATTTTTTTTTTTTTGTCGAAACGTTTGTACGATGTCGTTTGTTCAACGCGAAGAAAGGAAGTGAACAAACATTTTTTCTTATATTGCTGTAAGACAACAACAACGACAACAAAAAACTAGAAAAAAGGGGGTAAAAAAAAAATTTATTTTCGAATGATCGATCCATCGATCTATCGATCGATCGATCGACGAACGATCATCACCTTTTTCGAAGTAAAAGAAAACAAACAAACAAACCTTTTTCCAATCGTTGTTCCTTTTCGTAATGATTTCTATTCATGGAAACGCGGATCATGAAAATTAATTTAAAAAGCGCGCGTTTTCCCACTTCCGGCGAGTTGCAGAAACTTTTTTTTAAATATTTTTTTCTTACGCGTTCGCGTTATTATTATTATTTTTCTTAAAATCACACTCTCGTCACCGTTTGTTGTTGTTCTTATTATTATTATCACCACCGATTAATTTTTCGTACGTACTAATGAAATAATAATAATAATATATCGTTCACATAAAGTCGCGGTTGTGACGCGGAGGAGGAGGAGGAGGAGGAGGAGGAGAACCCGCACGAAAACACACGGACACACGCATCGAACGATGACTTAAGACTGAGAGATAATAATACTAATCGAGAATTGACGGTTAACGCGATACGACGTCGTAACCGTCGTCTGCTATACACATAACTATAGCGCGTACTGTGGGGAGGGGGAAGGGGAGTGGAGGGCAGGAGGGGAGGGACTCGTGAAACATTTTCGTCGTGAAGGTTGAGGGAATTGAACATACATAAGGTTGTTTTATTGCAATAAATTAATTTAACATCATCATCAATTATTATTATTATTATTATTATTATTATTATTATTGTTTTTTTTTTCCGCGTGTCGTGTAATTAGAATGCAAGTCTAAAAATTCGTTAATCATCATCATCACTCTCGGTTTCGTTCGCGTTTGCATCTCTCTCTCTCTCTCTCTCTCTTTTCGTGGCATTTTCCCGCGCGTCTCTTTTAACATTTCGTTTACTTTTCACCCCGGAAAGGTCGATTAGATTTTTTTTTTTTTTTGGGAAAATTCCGAAAATGGAAAGGAAGAAAGGAAAAGAGGAAAACTTGTCTTTTTCGTTAATTGCTTCCTGGTTTTTTTTTTTTTTTCGGAATGAGTGTGCGTCCTCAGGGAAGGGGGGAGGAAGAGAAAGAGAGAGAGAGAGCGATGGCGCGGGGTAGTAAGAAGAAGTAGGGGGCGGTTAAATAAATATGGCGGAGAGGTGGTGACGGTGGTCGCCGCCGGGAAAAAAATAATAATAATAATAATAAAATGTCTTACCGTGGATAAACCAAGAGTTTTATTCTTGTTTGGTTTTTTTTTTTTTTTTCACGCGCGCGTAAATTTTCCGTTCGCGTTATTCGGAAAATTTTTTTCACGCGATCGAACTAACGCGCGTGACACGACCGGAAATGGTTAAAAAAACAAAAAAACCGGCGGTACGGGAAATTTACTCAACGTAAAATTTCGTTTAAAAAAAAAAAAAAGGGAAAGTAAAGTTTTTTTTTTTTTTTTTTTTAAACCACTTTTACTTTTTTGTACTCGAACACAACCACAACAACAAAAACAAATACAAAACAATCACGACGACGACGACGACCGAAAATAATAATAATGATGATGATAATAATAATAACGGAAAAACGGTACTCTTTAAAACTGTTCGTCGAACAAACAAACAAACAAATTAAGACAAAATTTTATTTTTTATTTTTTTTGTTTGTTTGTAACATTTGGAATTAAATTTCCGGAGAGGGGACGACGCCATGAGTTGTTTTTTTTTTTGTCTTTTTTTTTTCTAGTTTTTTTCTTCTACCACGTTTAACATACTCGTCGACCTTTAAAAAATGAACAAAAAAAAATTTTTTTTTTTTTTTTTGTGTGTATGATTTAATATAAGGAAATTTCAAGTGCACGAATTAATTTTTGGACGTTGGGAAAAAAAAATGATAATAATAATAATAATATTACCAAAGTCCGACGTGTATAAAATACACGTTCGATTTATTTTTGTTTATTATTATTAATATTATTTTCTGGACCTAAATCTCGTTTAGATAAATGATAAGATCTGTTAGAAAAGATAAAATCATTGACCTTTAATCGATTGGGAAAAGATATGAATAGAAAGAAAGAGAGAGAAAGAGAGAGAGAGAGAGAGAGAGAGAGAGAGAGAGAGAGAGAGAAAACGTGGAAGAAGAAGCTGAGATATGAAAAAAGACAGAGAGAGAGAGAGAAAGGAAGACGTGAGGTTATTTTAATCGCTTATCGTTTTTTTTATTATTTTTTTTTTCTTTACAGATCCGAGTTTGTACATTTTAAGGTTTGCCAACAGGTTGGAATTTGGTAATAAAACTCACCAGGTATCGATGACCGCTCTTAGACTCGTGCAGAGAATGAAAAGGGATTCAATGCATACGGGAAGGAGGCCGTCGGGTTTATGCGGAGCTGGTAAGTGGTCGGCTATTATTAATAAAAACAAACGGTAAAGCGGTACCGGTTGGTTGTTGTCTCGAGCGTACTCGCCGAGTGGGGGAAACAAGTATATTTCGTGTATCAACTTCCGGTTTTACGTAATTTATTTATTCGTTTTTTTTTTTCTGTCTTTCTCGTAGCCTTTTCCGGTTTTTTTTTGTCATGCGAACGTGTCGCATTGTTAAAAATGGAATCGGGTTAGGGGGTCGTCTCCGTCTGGGACTTTACCACCATGCACCTAGTGTTTGTGTCCTTACTACTCTAGTGGGCACTCCCACTTGTCCCACTCCCTTTGTCGGGCACTCCCGAGAATCGCTGGGGATCCGAAGGAATCGCCCTTCCCCTCTCCTTCTCCTCCTCCTTCTCGCATTCGCGTAAGCAAAAAAAAAAAATACGAGAAAGTTTCCGGTCAAAATCGAATTAATTATTTATCGTACCGGAAATAGTTTTAAACAGGTTTTAAGAGGTACCTTAATTGATTTCGATTTCTTCCTCGTAATCCTCTTTTCCGCCCCCCCCCCACGTCCCCTCGGATATTTTTTTTTCAATTTCGCAAAACGGTTGAAAGTCGCGACGAACGGAAATTGTCTCTTTTAACGGAAAAAAAAATTAATTATTATTATCATTGTGAAAGATTGTTATTATTATTATTATTATTATTATTATTATTATTATTATTAGTTTCGTACTTTCTAACAAACAATTAATTTTTAATTATCGCGTGCGCTACCGGCACAAATGATTTTTCTCCCTTTTGTTTAACGTCTTCTGCAAATTAATAATAATAATAATAATAATAATACTAATAATGATGATGATGATGAAAATAGTAAATTACTCTTATTATTATTATTATTAGGAAGGATTTTTTTGTTGTTGTTGTTGTTGTTGTCGCTTGTCGTCTACTACTTCCGTTTTCGTCCGTCGGGTTGAACGCGTGAAAAAAATTATTTTTTAAATATATTAATGGCCGCCATTTCCTTTTTTTTCCAGCTTTGTTAATGGCGGCGAGACTTCACGAATTTAATAGATCGGTGTCGGACATAATAAAAATAGTGAAGGTTCACGAATCGACGTTGAGAAAAAGGTAAAAAAAAAAAAAAAATGGTGGCGGAAGATTCCGTCTTTTTTTTTTTGTGCGTATGAGAATTTTCAATTACGTCATCATTTCCTTCTTCAGGTTGTTGGAATTCGGGGAAACCCCGTCGAGTTCTCTGTCGTTGGATGAATTCATGACGGTCGATTTGGAAGAAGAACAAGATCCTCCATCATTTAAAGCCGCGAGAAAAAAAGATCAACACGATCGGTTTCAAAAGGTGAGATTAAAAAAAAAAAAAAAATGGCGAACGTTCACGGAAAAACTATCCGAACGGTTTTTTTTTTTATTTCTCCGGTAGATAATCGAAGGGGATGAAATGGGTCAAAATTTGACGGCTCTTCAAAGGGAAATAGAAAAAGAATTGAACGAATTGAGTTCGAAGAGAAAAGCGAATCATGTGAAATCCTCTTCGGTTCCCATTTCCGGTAACGAAGAAGAATCCGAAAATCAAGCTTTAAATAATTTTGTACAAAAATTCACGATAGAAGCCATCGAAGAATGCATAAACAAACCGGGAGAAGAAGAAACGGGAAACGTTGAAAATCAAGGACTTCCGCCCTCGTTCACCACTTTAGGTTTAAGTTCGAATATTTCGACGACGACGACGACGACGACGACGACGCCGACCCAAGAACAAACATCACTCAACGTACCAGACGGAGAACTCGTTGCCGACGATTTGGACGACGACGAACTCAATCAATACATAATGACGGATCGGGAAGCAAAATTCAAAGACAGCCTTTGGATGAAAGTAAACGAAGATTATTTGCAAAGGCAAAAAGGTTGGTGGTAACGAGGATAAAAAGAGAGAAAACGAACAAAAAAACCGTTACGCGCATTTACTGTTTCTCTTACAGAAAGAGAAGAAAAATTAGCCAAAGAAAAAGAATGCGGGAAACCGGAAAAAAAGAGAAAGAAATATTCGTCGAAAAAATCGAAAAATGCTCCGGCTGCAAATTCCGCGGGCGAAGCGTTCGAGAAAATGTTACAAGAAAAGAAAATGTCGACGAAAATAAATTACGACGTACTCAAAAGTTTGATGCTTCCGAAGACGTCGGAAACGGACAACGAAGATAATAAAACGACGAACGTTCAATCGTCGTCGACGACGACGATGACGTCGATGACGACGACGACGACGCAGCCCACGAATAAAAGAGAAGAGAAAAAATCGGAAAATCATCATCATCATCATCGGATCGTTGGAAAATCCGAAGAAACGACAAAAATGGACGAATCGGAATCCCGTAAGTTTATTATTGGAAGAGAGAAAATGATTTCGTCTTAATTAATTATTATTATTATTATTATTAATATTATTATTATTATTATTATTACAGTCATGGATGACGGAGACAGAGATGACGACATGGATGAGGGAGAATGCGACGGAGCGACGGAACAACCGAGTGAAATTTCACTATCCCAATTGTTAAATCGTCACGAAAATGGCGGCGACGACGATTACGGTGATAATTACGATGACGAAATGGAAGAGGATTATTAATATATCGATCGATGGATCGATATATCGATTACATTAACGGTGACAATCGATTGTTTGTTTGTTTTCTTTTTCTCTCTCTCTCTCTCTCTCTATTCGCAACGTCGGATGGGATTCCATAGAGTAAGAAAAAAAACCGGCGGTTATTTTTAACGGCGTTCGTTTATTATTAACTTATTATTATTATTATCGTTCGCTCATTTGTTTATTTATTTATTTATTTACTTTTAAAAAGCGCGCGTTTTTTTTTTTTTTTAATATTTATTATTTCACCGGAAACGAACGTTTGTTTTTCGCGACACGATAGATAAATAAATAAATGGACACGGCAAAAAAAAAAAAAACTTTCAAGACTGATTATTTTTCTTCTTATTATTTTAAATTATAAATTATTTTATCGTTTTAATATCGGACGCCATTTTGTTTTTTTTTTTTCGTTTTTATTTTTCCTCTTTTTTTTTTTTTTTCTTTTTAGGTTTTTATGTTTTTATTTGAATGTTGAAAGGTGAGTTTTAATAATAATAATAATAATTTTGTGATTGGTTGGTTGATTGGTTGTTGTTATGATTGAATATTTTGTTTCGTTGCGGTAAAGTTGGCGATCTTTAGTAAAATGGCGGGAAATTTGAAAAAAAAAACATGGCGGAAATGATATGATTAATTTTTAATCGTTACGTATTATTCGTGTGACGTGTTTGTTTGTTGGAATTGTTGTTTTCAAACGAATTGTTTCGATTCCTGGTTTTTTTTTTTTTTTTATCTTGATCCCTAAGGATCATATCAGTGGTGCTGATTATTAATTAATTTTTTTTGGATTTCTTCAAAGTTTTCCAGAAATTTCTTTGGGATTCTCCAGATTTCTTAAATGTTTTTTTCATTATTTTGTTTAGATTTTTTGTCTAAAAATTTTCAAGATTTTTTCCAGGCTACTCCAGAATTTTTTCAGAGGCTTTATTCAGACTTATGTCCACAACATTTTCTTCAGAATTTTTCCCAAAAAAATTTTCTAGAAATTGTTCAGAAAAGAAAAAGGTTTCTCGGAAATAAATTTTCCATAATTTTATTAAAACTCTGTCAGGAAATCTCCAGAATTTTACAGTATTTTTCTGGAAATTGTCTAGAATTTTCTCCAGACTTATCCAGTGATTCTCCAGAATTTTTTCCAAAATTCTCCAGTAGTTCTCCAGAATTTTTTTTAGTATTTTTCATTATTTCTCAAGAAACTGTCTAGAATTTTTCCAGACTTCTCCAGTAATTCTCCAGAATTTTATCCAGGCTTATCCAGAATTTTTTTAAGTATTTTGCTTTATTAATTCTCTAGAAATTGTTCTAAAATTGTCTCCAAACTTTTTTCAAAATTTTTTTCAGGTTTCTCCTCCGGGAATTTTCCAGATACTCATTATTATTGTGATTTGTATTTTAAATATGAGTATGAATTCGAATCGGGAAAGGAGGACGGGGGGGGGGGGAGAGGGAAAGAGCAAAAAAAAATTTTTCTTTTTTCAATCATTTTTTTTTTTTTTGAACGTGTATTTCGTATAAAAATAAAAAAAATGTTTGTCGTGGTGCTAGATAATAATAAAAAATGATCGTGGATTTAAGAGGCTAAATAATTAGAAACGGCCGTTATTATACTGGAAATTTCATCTGGACAATTTTTAAATTCCAAATGACAATTTTTTTTCTTTTCGCCATATTCGATAGCTTTTTTCAAATCCGTACCGTCGAGAAACGTTTTCATCAAATCGTTCCTAAAGGAAAATTTATTATCATTATCATTATTATTATTATTATTATTATTAAATCGTTATCACTGTTATCAGTGAAACTTACTTGGAAAGAACGTCGACAATATTTTCCAATTCGTTAGCCGTACGATTTTCAACTTTTTCATTTGCCGTTTGTATAGATGACAAATG